GAGCTCCAGTCCCCCGACGCCCACCCCGTTCTAGGAGGCGCCCGGCAGCCTCCTCACCTTGGAGAAACAGAAGGAGACCGAGTCACAGTGCTGCACGATGCGGCCGGGGGGCACGCGCAAGGCCACCGCTGCGTTCATCAACCGAGCCCCGTCCAGGTGGACCCGGGCGCCATGGTTCCGGGCCAGGAGGTGCACCTGGGGGCCAGGTGCAGAGGACGTCAGAGGAGGAGGGCCAGGAGGGAGGGCAGTGTCTCCGGAGGGCGGGGCTCGGCCCCTTGAGGAGGCACCAGGCACCTGGAGTCAGGAGACAGGTGTGGTCCAGCTCCGGCCCTCCGTGACCTTGAGCAGGGCGTGGGTACCACGGGAGCCTCAGTATTGCCCTCTGCGGAACGGGACTGACGGGCAGTCCAGCGCCTTCTGCGGGCTGAACCCCTGACGGAGGGGTTATTTCCACGGGACAGGAGCTGCGTGAGGTTCGGTGAGGTGAGCTGCCCAGGTTCTCAGGTGGTGAGTGCACCGCTGACAAACACCCCACAGCCCCACACTCAGGCGGGGGTGGGACCACTAGGGCTTGTTACCCTGAAGCACACATTTTGGGGTGCAGTCCCCATGCTGCTCTGGGACTCAGCACCCTGAGGGCGGGAGGTCTCTGCTGTCTGGGAAGAGCCCAGGGACTAACCCCTTGCTGTGGGGTCGATTCTGAGCATGGCGCCCCTGCGTAGCACAGAGCAGAACTGCACTGTGGTTTTTTTGGCTGTGATGGAAGCCGCTGTCCAGGCCTTTCTTGCATTTCTGGACCAGGTGGGTTCAAACCAGCAGTGGAGTGAAAACCGTCTGCCCCGCCCAGGGGCCTAAAATGGGGCGAGAATGTCCTCCGCAACTTCAGCCCAAGGTCACACTGACGTCCCTCTTCAGCAGTTCTGATCACCGTGGGCACCCACAGTATAAGATTACAGGGTGGGGGCCCAGGGAAGACAGAAGCTGGGAGCAGGCTGGTGGGGGGGGAGCCGGGCCTACCTGGCATAGGTAGTCGAGGGGGAGGACCCGGCCCCCTGAGCTGCTGTGGGTGTTCTCCAGGCAAATGAGCTCACACACGGGGTGGTAAGGGTTCCCCAGGCCCCGCCTGAGTACCCGCTCCAACGCTGCCAGGTCCAGGGTGCCATGGGGCTGGTCTGGGAGGGCGTGGGGGTGCACACCTGCGATCTGCAGGTATGGAGGGGACAAAGGGTCAGGCCCAAGGTCCAGAGGTACCTCCTTCCAGAGTGGGGGGTCCTCTGGAGTATGGAGCCAGCCCCCCAAGTTAATTTCTAGAGTCCTGTGCCTGCTCCTCCCAGCCATGGGCCTGAATGGTTTGCCTTGGCCTTCTCCGGATTGCAGTCTGGCTACATCCTGCACACCACTAGAGCGCAGCAGAGAGCCAAGGGCCAGTGCCTGCAAACCCAGGGTCCCCAGGGCTGGTGTGCCCCTGCTGCCCCCTGGTGGCCAGTCTGGGAACCAGCTCTCCTCCCACCTCCCCTGCAGAGGCCATCAGCTAGCTTCTTTCTCCCTGGCTCTCCCTTCCTCTCTGCAGGTGCCCGTCCCTGGGAAGCAGGTTCCCACCAGAAGTGCTGAGGGCCCCAGGTGAGGATGTCTGGTCCTTACCTGAGCCACACCGCCCTGCTCATAGACATGGAGGTGGCACTCTTGCCCAAGCGGGAGCTGGGAGCCCCGGCGGCGGCAGTGACCCATCACTGAGACAGATGGGGGAGAGCAGGTCTTGGCACAAAGTCTGCCAGGGTCCACCTGCCCCTGCCTGCTTAGCCATGTCCAGGCTGAGCCCCAGGGCCACAGCTACTGATGGCAATTAGGAAACAGCGCTCCTTCAAGATAACTTAGTGCCATGTTCAGAAAACTGTCACACTAAAGACACAAAGGGAGCTCTGGTAGCATAGTGGCTAAGGCACTTGACTGCTAACCAGAAGGCTGGCGGTTCAAACCCACCAGCCACTCCTCAGAGGGAAGATGGGGCAATCTACATCCGTAGTGATACTGCCTCGGAAACCCAAGGAGGGGTTGCTATGAGTCGGGTCCGACTCAATGGCACATAACAACAACAACAAAGACACAAAAGAAGCCCCTGAGTGGTGCAGTTAATGCACTTGGCTGCCAAGCAAGACGTTCAAGGCTGCCCAGAGGGGTCTCAGAAGAGAGGCCTGGTGATCTGGGGCACAATCCACTCTGACGCACACAGGGGCACCATGAGTTGGAGTCATTGTGACAAAAACTGGTAACTGGTACAGATCTGAGATGATGGCCCTCGGAGCCATTGGGCCACACACAGCCGACACTCTGGCCAGTGGAGTGTGCCCCTTCGCTGGTGGCACGCGCCCGGGCCGCTGCCTCATCAGGGCCTGCAGGAGAGGCTGGCTCCCACAAACTGGGAAAGCTGAGAGTCTGATAAAGGGACAGCTTATGAGGTGTGGGCAGACTGCAGGGAAATCTCCAGGGACAGGGAGGACCTCTGGCCTGAAAGGGGCGCGTGAGGGGAGAAGAGAGTGTGGTTCCAGGAGTCTGGAGACAGGGCAGCGTGGAGAGGGTCACCTGGCACTGGCCTGGAGGGGCTCGACACCAGGCCCTAGTTTTCTTCCCGTCCCTCACTTCCTGCTAAGGCTCCCCACAGCTGCCCAACAGAATTCCAGGGGGCTGCGGGCCCCATGGATGTTGCCCTGGGAGCGCTGTGGACCCGAGGGGAGGAGTGTGGGAGGGATGTGGAGACGAACGGAGGTTGCTGCACTCACCGGAGATGAGGTTGGCCATGGTGTTGGTGGGCACGAACAGGGTCCGCCCCACCCCGAGCAGCTCCGCGGCCTTTTCCTGCAGCTCTGAGGGGAAGAAGGGATGGCAGGCAGGGAGACTCCGTCATCAATGACTCCAGGCACCGGGTCACCCACCTCAGCACTTTCCAATGAGCTTTCCTTCTCAGTGTAGTGGCGCCTGTCAGGAGCAGGCGCTGCCCACCTGCCCGCCCACCCACCCCGGGGAGCAAGTGGGATTGAAGTTTGGGTCTCAGTCATCACATATAGCAGGCCACAGAGCCTCAGTCAGCCCGTAACGCCTCGGTCCCCTCACTGAAACTCCTGTGGTCTGAACTGCCACCTCCCAGACTCACACCTGTCCCGCTTCCTTCCTGTCAGCCGCGGGCAGGTGGGGCCTTGAAGCTTCTCTGCGCTCTCTCCCACAGTGTAGGCAGGCCAGGAGAGGGAACTCTGGGGAACGGGCAGGGCCCCTAAAAGGGGGAGACTCTGGCAGGCTGGGGGAGGGGCCCAGGGTAAGGTGGGAGGTGCAGGGTCGAGGGGTGGGGCTCCCCACTGCTGGGGACATGGAGTTGGAAGCTCTTAGCATGGGGTGACCAGGCCTGTCTCCCCTTCCAGTGCCATAGGTGCCTCCCCTAACATCCCCCTGCTCCGGGCCACCCCACATCCTGAGCACCTCCCCACCGCTGTGGCTCTGTAGGCCCTGTGCCCCCCTTACTCGGGGGCTCCATCCTTTACAAGGGCTCTTCTCCGAAGCCCCCTGGCTGGGAGCAGCCTTCCTGCCAGGATGGTCTCCGTTAGGTTTGAATCAAGCTGCCCAGGGCTCAGTGCCTGGAGTTCCAGGTCATTGCAGGGGACTGCCAGCGTCCGCCGGATGCAGCGTCAGCCCAACCACTCCTCGACCCCAGGGCAGGCGGTGGGGCTCAGGAGGGCACCCCGTGGCTTGTCTCTGGGTGTGTGAGAGTCGTCCACACCCCGGCAATCACCGGGGTTCTCTCCAGTGTCAGCTCTCAACCCAGGTGGGTAGGGGGCACCCCTTTGTAGATGGGGTGTCAACCCTGTCCTCGGGAGTGCTTGCCTGAGAAGCCCCCTTCTAGATGGGGTTTCCCTTTGTCATGTGGGGAGGCAGTGGGGCCAAGGAATGACAATGGGTTCGAATCCTGGTTTTACCACATACTGGACGTGGGACCAGGGGGCAGTCTCTCAGCACCTCAGAGCCTCCTCCCATCTCACAGGCGCTCAGGGACACTCCCACGGCACGCCTCCCTCGGTGATCCCGTGATCCCGTTCAAACGCAGAGTCTGGCTCAGCGCCCCGCGCGGGGCCCTAGAATCTGCATGTCCAGCGGCTCCCAGGTGACAGCCCACACTTTAGGCATCAAGGTGCTCCAAACGCCAGCTGGTCCCCACCCCTGCGTTCCGGGCCACCCTCCCGCAGGCACCACGGACAGCGCTCTGGGGTCGCCTCGACGACCCCCCTCCCCGGGCTCCCCGCGGACGGTGGGGTCCTCGCCATAGTCATCGTCCCCCACGACCGCCTCGGCCATGGCGCGTCTCATGGCCGGCCCGGGCACGGTCACCGTGTCGCTGCGCAAGTCCACCACGTGCTCCGGGACCCCCGCCTGGCCCTCGGACCCCCGCGCCCAGGGGAGCCCCGTGTCTCTGGGCCGCGGCCCGCGCCAGTCTGCGCAGCATGGCGGGGCGGTGCACGGCCTCCCACCCAGCGGGGGCTGCAGACCCATGTCTGGCGAGGGTAGAGGGAGCAGCGGGGGTCCGAGAGGCCCGATCTCCCGGACCTAGATGCCCAGGACTTCGGCCTGGCGTGAGCGCCCCGCGGCATTTTGGGTATTGTAGTCTGGGCTTCGTTGCAGGCGGGAGGGCCGCGCGGCATGCTGGGAGTTGTAGTACGGGGATGTTGGAGCGCGAAGTTACAAGGAGGAAAGCCGAGTCCGGAACGGGGTTGGGGCAAGCTTTTAAAAAGCAGAGTTTAGGTGGTTCTTACCAGGCGCTGTCCCAGGCACTGTGTAGCTGTTAACTCAGTTAAGCCTCCCAAGAACCACTGCAAGTACTATTATTATCCCTGTTCTACGGATGCAGAAACCGAGCCCCCCAGATCTCAGGTCAATGGGCAGGGAAGCGGGGCGCCGGGTTTTGAACCCAGAGGCTGCCCCCAGAGCCCAGTTCTGAACCACTGCGCTGTGCTGCTGCAAAGACCAGCTCCCAGCGTTTCCAGGTTCCTGAAGCATCAGCGTGGGTTGCACTGTGTGCAAGCAGTGTGTAGGGGCGGCGCAGGGGATCCCCGGATGGCTGCAGCTCGTCCAGGGCCCCTCATGACGCACAATCAGAGGCAGAATTAGAGAGGAGGACTGCTTCGGTGAGGGAACGATGGGGGGTGGGGTGGCGGAGGGCGCAGGCCACGCTGCTGGGTTGCGAGCTGTATCCCTGGCTTCCTAGCTGTGCTGCCTTGGACAAGCCACTTAACCTCTCTGTGCCTCAGTTTCCTCAGCTGCACAATGGGCTGTTGTTGAGGATTTGGTGCCGCGGTGTGTTTAAAGTGTAGACATCAGGGCCTGGCTGGTGGCAGGCGCCTCCTGTGGTGTTTTCTGTCCTGCTGCTCTACCTGGACTTGGCTCCTCAAGCGGCCAGCCCTGCTCAGTGGCGCCCCTTTCTGGATCGTTGGTCAGAGATGTGGGGGCTCCTCCGTGGGGGAGTCGGTGCCCTGAGGGGCCGCACTTCCCCCCGCCCAATAAAAGGACACTCACTCATCTTTCCTCCACAGACACAGCCCCTGGCCTGTGCTGAGCCCCAGGTGGGGGTGGAGGGACAAGCAAGATGCAGATAGCCCTGGGCTCAGAGCTCAGGTCCTCACTTTGGCAGTGGGAGGGGGCAGGAATGTCGGCTGGGGAGCTGACAGGTCTGGTCTCCATATCAGGGTAGGCTTCCTGGAGGAGGCATGGACTCGCTGGGCTCTGCAGACAGAGCAGGGCAGAGGGGCAGCAGGAAGGAGGTGCAGGGTAGAGCTGGTGGGTCTGAGGTCTTGATGGGAAGCCAGCCTGGCTGCAGAGTGAGTGACAGAGATGGACCCCTATACATCCAGGGTTGGGGGACCTCCTGGGGCACCCCATTGTCCCTCTCCTGCCTGGTGGGGCCAGTCTGAGAGTCAGGAGTTAGAAGTCTCCTTGGCGTCCTCGGCCCCAGGGGCCCCATCTAAAGGAAAGGCTCTGCCTGCTTCCCCCCCACCCCCCAGGGGCCCACTGGCCCTGACCTCTCCTCTCCACCAACTGCCCGCCCTGGAAAACAAGCCCTTATCTTACCGCTGCTCCAGGCCTGTTGCTGGGAAGTGGGGGGCGGGGATGGAGGCCTCTGGAAAGGAAGAAGGCTCTGAGGCCTCAGGATGGGGCAGCCATGGGAAAGAGCACTTGGGGGAGTGGCGGGGAAGGGGACAGCAGACGGGTCCCCCAGTGCCTCTCAGCCATTGCAGGTCCGCAGCCGGCCTCCTGATTGCAGGCACCTCACCCCACAACTTCCCTGGTCACCCTCACCGTGACCCTGGGGCCGGAGATGGGCAGGGAGGTTCAGTAACCCAAGGCCTGAGAAGTCATCCAGGTGACACAGCCCGTCCCCAGCCCAGCCTGTCCCCTCCACAGCAGGCCTGTGCTCCCAGGGAGGTGGGCTTTTCCTAGGACTTGTTGTGTTGTGTGCGTTGAGTCGGACCCGACTCAGCGACCCCTCTTTGGGTTTCCGAGATGGTATCACTACGGATAGTAGATTGCCCAACCTTCCTTCCAAGGAGTGAGGAGTGGCTGGTGGGTTTGAACTGCCAGCCTTCTGGCTAGCAGTCAAGTGCCTGAGGCTGCCACCAGGGCTCCCTTTCCTAGGAGAGACTGGGGTAAAGCAGGCTTCTTCTGCAGGTGGCTGCTTGTCCCCACCCAGTCCCCAGGGCACCTGAGCCACCCGCCTGCCCCAGTAGTGCCAGCTGAGCATGGAGGGAGAAGGGTGGGGGCCCTCCCCAGTGCAATGAGGCATGTTCTGAAGGCTTGCTGCAGGGAAGACTCTCTGTCCAATGGCTCGGCATCAGGGAGGTTGTGTGCACTCATGTGCATGGATATGTGTGTACATATGTGTGTATGTGTGCATGTGGATGTGTGTGTGTGGGTATGTGTGTACATCTATGTGTATGCATATATGTGTACATGTGTGTAGGTGTATATGAATGTGTGCTTCTATGTTGTGTATATGTGCATGCATGTGTATGCATCCACTTGTGTGCATGTAGGTGTATGTGTACATGAGTATACATGGGTAAGTGTGTGCATGTGTACATGCATGTATGTGTATGTATGTGTGTTTCTCTGTGTTGAGTATATGTGCTGTGTGTGTGCATGTGTGCATGTGGGTGTATGTGTACCTGAGTATACATGGGTATGTGTGCATGTGTATATGCATGTATATGTGTATGCATATATGTGTACATGTGTATGAACGTGTGTTTCTCTGTTGTGTATATGTAGTGTGCATGCATGTGTATGAGTATATATGGGTATGTGTGTGCATGTGCGTCTGTGTATGTATTAAAAAAAAAAAAAAACTCTCACTGCCATCGGGTCAGATCTGACTCATAGTGACCCCTTCTTGGGTTTCTGAGGTGGTATCACTACAGAAGCAGATCGCCCAACCTTCCTTCTGAGGAGTGGCTGGTGGATTTGAACTGCCAGCCTTCTGGTTAGCAGTCAAATGCCTTAGGCACTACGCCACGAGAGCTCCCATGCATGTGTATGTCTATGCATATATGTGTACACATGTGTGTATACGAACATGTGTTTCTCTGTGTTGTGTCTGTGTGTATGCATGTATATGAATGTGCATACATGCCTGTGTGTGTGTGTGTGTATATGTGTCTCCCTCTGCCTGCATCTGAGATCCCAGCCATCCTGTTGGTAAACTGGGGACAAGCCACAGCTCCAGGCAGGGGTGAGAAGCCCCTGGTAGCATCAGCCATCCATGTACCCTTCCCACAGCCCCCCACCGGGCTGCCCCCCTCTCTGGCACATCTGTAATTCTCTCAAAAGGAGCCCCCAGCCCCTCTCCAGTGCCATCCTCACTCGTGGCCATGAGGCTCAGTCCCCACCTCCTCACAGGCCCACCCCTGGCCCCTGTCCAGCTGCTTCCTCCCCTGCTTATGCCAGGCCCCCGGGCTCTTGTCTGGACCCGGCAGCAGCCTCCTCCAATGCCTCAGCCTCCGGGGGGTCCTGCGGTCCACAGCCTGTGCTGCTCACCCCACGTCTCAGCTCGCATCGCCTTATGGTCAAGTCTAGCTTCCTTAATGGGCTTTGGGCTCAGGGGTCCAGCCCCCCCGTCTTCCCAGCCTCACTCAACGGCTCTTCTCCCCCTTGGGTCTCTGTACCTGCCGTTCTCCTGCCTGGACCCCTAACCATCATCACATCTGACTGGTTACCACCTTCCGTCTTGAGGCCTCAGCCACAATGCTGCTTCCTCCAGGAAGCCCCCAAGCCTTCCTTCAGCACAAGTAGCCTCTCTTCTTCCCGTGACTCTGCGTCACAGCTTCTCCCTGGACCGATGCTCTGGGTGGGCGAGACCAGGCCTTTGGCACATTCTGCGTGCTGAGCTGGTGTCTGCCCATAGTCAGCACTCCGCAAACACCAGCCGCAGGACAGGAGGGAGGGACACAGAGCCCATCTCCCCTGTCCCAGGACCCCTGGGAATGCTGAGACCCCTGGATGTGGTTGCGTGAGACAGGGAATGGCATGGGAACTCTGAGCGGGGCAGAGCCGAGGGCCCCTGTGTGGGAGGTGGCCAGAAATGGACAAGCACGGGAAGGAGCCTGCTTGGGTCCCCCCACAGGCAGGTCTGGGGTAGCTGCCTCCCTGGCCTCCTGAGTCAGGTACCTGCTGCCCCAGCCCCCGCAGTCAGAGGACCCTGGGCAGGCCGGAGGCGGGAGTGGACGGGAGTCCCTGGGTGGGCTGCCGCCTGGCACCCCTGCAGGCCCAGGCTCTGGGGTGTGTGCACAGTCGGGCTGAGCTCACGGTGAATTCCTGTAACGCTGGTGCTGGCAGGAAGTGAGCCTCTCGGGGAGGCCTACTGCTGGGAACCGGACCTGGCCCTGCTGAGAGAAAGGGAGGCGGCAGATCAGAGCTGCAGATAGGGGCTGGCCCGTAAACGGGTGGGGATGGCCTTTCCGTCCTAGCCCCTGGCCCGGAGCCCGAGGGACCCATATGCTGCTAGCCTGGGCCCTCCTCGCCCTGCAGCCTGGAGGACCGGGAAGCTGTTTGCACCAGCATCCTCAGTCCAGCCTGGATGAGGGCAAAGGGCAGGGCGCTGGCCTGGGGGGCACTGGGGGCAGGGCATCAAGGCCATGGGTGGCTGTGGGGAGGGAAGAAGGGGAGTGAGCGGGGTCCTCTAAGCCCCCGGCCGGGAGAAGAGTCAGACAGTGGCAGAGCCTTCGCGTTCAAGACCATCTCAGGAAATCAAACAGGATCTGCTGGGAGGGTGGGAGCCCGGAACAGAATGGAGGGGTTACTGCTGCTCAGCCTTTGTGGTAATTATTGGCTTTCCTTTATGGTTTTACCATGACCTACGCATACCTTGGGAGCTCTGGTAGCATAGTGACTAAGGCACTTGACTGCTAACCAGAAGGCTGGTGGTTCAAACCCACCAGCCACTCCTCGGAGGGAACATGGGGCAATCTACTTCCATGGTGATACCGCCTGGGAAACCCAATGAG